AGCCAGAGCTAACTGTAAAGTATGTAGATGCTCTCTGAACTCACCTGTCTTTAACTCAGTGGTTCCTAAACTTTGCTGCACGTCAGAATCGCCTTGGAAAATCACTGAGGAGTCACCTAAAAAGATACGGATGCCTGGGCTCCCACTCGGGAGGCTTCCTAACTTCACTGGCCTGGAGTGTGCCCCAGACACTGGGATTCACTGCAAAGTTCCCCAGGTGACTCTCAGGTGCAGTGAAGTTTGGGAAGGGCTGCCTGGCCTCCAGGCCATCACCTATGAGGCACATCGCCTGATGCCCTTGGCACATGGGATGTGAGTGGCCAGTGCGGGCTGTTTTCTTGTCCGTCTGTGCTCCCTGAAAATGAGCTGTATACTTAACAGGTCAGCTGGGCTCCCTCCCGGACCTAATTATGCCACTTGTTACTGTAGATAAAAATGTAATCTTATCTTATGCAAACCAATAAAATATGACTGTGTAAAGGGAACTAATGTTTCTTTAAAAACTGAACTCAATGCTTTGGGAAGATGTGATAAAAATGAGGTTTTTTTCTAAAGAGATGTCGAATTAGGTGGAAATGAGAAATTACAGGGTGGGGAAAAACTTAAGAATCTAGAAAAGGTCTAATACCAGCAGGTCGCACAAGTGTATTTTAAGTTCTTGGATCAGTTAGAAGAAACTTAACGTAAAAACCAGACCATTAACATGGGCATGCTTTAGGAAAGCCAGGACTTTGGCTGAAAATTCATCTCAAAGAGAAAGCCGTGGCCCTGTATCAAAACATCAATGAATAAATACACATGTGTACGTTTTAAGTGGAAATAAAAGGTTCATAGGAGGTGTTTTTTTGGAGATTGTTACATGCAAAAAAAAAAAAAAAAGGTTCATGACGAGAATGTGTCATTTGACAGGTTTCTCCTTTTTGACTTTCTCAACGGACCATCTCCGGCCTGTGCTGCATGAGCGGACTTCTCTGAACTCACGCCATCTGCTTATGTGAAAGATAACTGGATGGTCCTTCTCTTCCAGAAAGATAGCTAAGCTAGGTAACAGAGACATGCATTGATTTTTCGAAAATACAGCACACGCTCCATTTGATTTAAACACATAGTGAACAGACTCCTGATAGACCCATCTTTTTCGGGGACAGCTCTCGATCATCAGGGCCTTAGGGTCTCCTTCCCAACATAGGAATTCCCACGGGGGTTCTCAGCCTCCCCCCCGCCCCTCACATCAGCTTGGCAAAGCAGGGGAAGGCTCCAGGACACATGGGGAATCAGCCCCATAAGCGTTCCAAAAACCCTTTCAAACGGGAATATCTGGGGCACCTGGGTGGCTCAGTGGGTTAAGCCTCCGACTCTTGGTTTGAGCTCAGGTCACGAGGTCACAGTTTGTGAGTTGGAGCCCTACACTGACAGTGCGGATGCTGCCTGGGATTCTCTTTCTCCTCTCTCTCTGTCCCTCCCCTGCTTGCGTGCTCTCTCTCAAAATAAATTAATTAATAGAAATGAAACAGGGAAATATTTAAGCTTAACCTAATGCTATGTGCAAAACAGGAATACATCAGCGTAGAATTTTCTATTGTGACTGGACACATCTAGAACATTTTCGTCCCCTTCCTTACACGTGCATATGTGTGTACATGCATGTGCGTATAAAATCCATACACGTAAGATTCCGGTGCATGTATGTGCATGGCGTGTCTAGTTCCTGCCGCAGAGACCTCTCTGAATCCGGCGTCTGAGCCTCTGATGGCCAGTTAACAGCCTCACGCTCTGCTCTTTGCTTCCCTGCAGGGTAACTAATTAATAAATTTCCCTTTAATTGAGTTCTGGCTGCCAGGTCCACAGGGATTATTACTTATCTATGATAAGTAAACAAAACCTTCCATTTTTAAACACCACTTCAAATCTCTCATTATATTTTAAACAGATACAAATTCGCACAAGTCAAGTGAGCCACGGGCTGGAAGCTGTGCGCATTCGGGCGCGGATTCCTCTGCTCCCAGGAAGCTGGTGTCGTGGCAGGTAGGTGGCAGTCCGTGGACCGACTCCCCTTCTCACCTACAGATACATTAAAAAGCACACCCCCAGGAAGTCCGGGGAGCCATTAATGGCACTTGCCTTTTCCTCTACCCTGGATGTATTATTTAAGAGCAATGTGCCTTCACGATGTATAAATACGAAGGTGAAGGGAATGTTAAATATTCTGCAAGTGCCCAGGACGCGCTGAGCGCTGGAGCATCGGTGGGTCGAGGGAACGTCCCAGCCCACGCTCCTGTGACGCTGCACTTTTAAGTTCTTACAGTGGAAGCAACTTAACTAACGGTTTATTTTCAAGATCCTTTCCCCCTTTCGGGTTCCAAATTAAGGGCAGAACCCCGCGTGCGCGCACACACACACACACACACAAAAGTGAAAAACCGGAAACCGCTGTTTTCAGCGTGGTTTCGAAACCCAGAAGGAGGAGACCACCCCACCTCCCGAGACCTTCCGCGCAGCGCCATTTGGAAGCAACTTGGCTGAAAATTCGGATCTTTTGTGAGTCACTCTCTGCCGACGGTGCAAGAATCCGCTGCGGGCTCTGATTATTTCTGTTATTATTGACTTAAAAGAATAAAACAGCTTAAAAGAAATAAAGCTTTAAAAAAAAAGCTTAAAAAACAAAACATTTCTCAGACTCCCACGTTCGTGCTGCTTCGACACAATCCAGGAAAAACAGTGAGGGCAGGATTTAAAAGCCAGCCCCCCCAGACTGTTAGGGGGATAAACTTCTGTTATGAATTTTAAAGGTCTGGATCTTCTCATCCGTCTCCTAATCCCTTGTTTCCTTCTTTGAGAAATTTTTCTAAACGGAAGTGCTGGCCATGTCACGAGCCCTTCGCTGAGAATCAGTCCCCACCCCCACCCCCTTATGACCCTGGCTGGTTTCGGGAGAGACTGGGGCTGCTGCTGGTCTGTCTCCAGGGGCACCCAGTGCCCAGCACGTGGGGCCAGTGTCTCCAGACTCCCAGGCAGGAGCCAGCACAGCGAGCAGCCAGGGCTGACAGTCAGAGCCTTGCTGCCTCATGGAACCACGACCCCAGGACGGGGTGGATGGTGAGATCTCAGGCCAGGGGGCAGGAGGAGGGGCAGGGGCAAGTCTCCAGGCTCAGCTGAAACTAAAGGCGAGGGCAGCCAGAAATATAAGCAAACGAGTGATACAGCACCACGGATGAATCTCAGATGCGTTCTGCTAAATCAAAGATGCCAGACACAAAAAGCCACATGGGGATCACGTGATTCCATTTATGTGCTGTTCTGGGTAAAGGCAACACTAAAAGGAGAAACACGGATCAGTGGTTGTCAGGGGCGAGAGGTGGGGGGAGGGACCGTCCAGAAAGGGCAAAGAGAGAGCTTTCTGTGCTGGTGGCTTTGTTCTGTCTCTGACGGTCGTGTGCTTACGCAACCGTACTGATTTGCCAAAACGCCTCTAACAACACACAAGAGGGGCAAGTTTTACCGAATGTAAATCAGACTTCTTTAAACCTGAAGTAAAATAACAGCTGGGGGCGCCCGGGCGGCTCAGTCGGTTGAGCGTCCGACTCTTGGTTTCGGCTCAGGTCATGATCTCACAGTTCGTGGGACTGAGCCCCGCATCGGGCTCTGTGCTGACAGCAGGGAGCCTGCCTGGGATTCTCTCTCTCCCTCTCTGCCCCTTCCCCCCTCACGTGTGCACACACACATCCTCTATCTGCCTCAAAATAAGTAAATAAATGCTAAAAAAATTAACAACAATTAAGGAGGAACAGCCATGGCAGAAGACTGAGCCAGCAAAAGCGTGGAGATTAGGGAAGGATAGAGCTTCCACTGGGGGCGGGGAGAGAAGTCCTCAAGACACAGCTCCAGGCTACTGGTTTCCGTGTCTTGGGCAAGAAGACTTGTGGAGGACTCGGGAAGCCCTTCCACGGATCCCAGTTGGATGCCTTAACTCCAGGCTCCACCGAGAATCAGGTTTGTTGATGGTCTCTGTGTTAGTCGATTAGCTTCACAGTTTCCACGCAATGGGGTTCATCTCCTACTCGGGGCTCTTGTTTGTTTTCCGGGGACCCAGGTCCTTGGGGCAATCATTCAGAGGGCACAGGGGGACCAGCCTCCTGTGCTTCGAAAGCCCTCAGACGTGGCCATGGAGAGGCTTTGAAGCTGCTGCTCGGCCAGCCTAGCGGCTCACATTGCCTTGCAAAGTGCAGTGAGGTCCACGGACCCGGGGCCCACGGTCCAAGAGCCCATCTGAGATACTCCCCAGTGTGTGGAGCGTGCACGACCTGGCAGGCAAAGGGGAGAACGCGGCACCGAGGTCAGTGCTGGCTTCGAATAGGTAGCTCAGAGGGGACTGGGCTCCTGGCAGTGACGCTCCCCACAGGGCAGGGCCTGGGCCCCAGGCTTAGAAGAACGTCACTGACCGGCATCACCCAAGGGACGGAGGCAGCCAGAATCTGGTTCGTTCTAAAAAAGTCTGGTTTCTAGATTATTTTAAAAGCACGCCTTTGTTTCTTCCAGCTCCACAGAGGGGACTCAAGCTAATGATTAATAACATATCATCAGGGTGCCTGGCGCATAAATATCGGGCTTTCATGAAAAGCACCTGTACAGGTTGCGAACAAAAAGATAGTACTAAACGGTTGTTTTTCCGCTTCAAGTTCTCGCTCACCTTCCCCTGGCAGTAGTTACATTTGTAAACGACCTTCGCCCCCCCCCGACAGCTCAAAAGTGAACCGCAGTCCAGACTCGACGTTTGTCTGGAGCTCCAGGTGAGCAAAGCCCATACCGGTGGAATCGTACCCCGCTTAAGAAAAAAGGGTCAGGGGGCGCCTGGCTGGCTCAGTTGGCAGAGCACGCGGCTCTCAGTCTCAGGGGTGTGCGTCCGAGCCCCACGTTGGGCGCGTCGCCCACTTTAGAAACAAAAAGGGTCACGGTGGCCCTCGACGGCGGGTCTCTTGCTGGGTGGAGATGGGGCCACTTACTTCCTCCTTTCCCACTCTTCTCCATGCGGTACTGGTAGATGTGCAGCGTGAAGAGCATGTGCGAGTTGCGGTGGCCTTCTTCGTCACAGTCCTGCTGGCTGCCGCGGCGGGAGGCGATGGCAGCGTCCAGGAAGAAGGCGGCCTTCTCTGCCGTGGGTGCCCGCAGCTCACTCTGGTTCTGCAGCTGGAAGACACAAGCCGAGAGCTGAGGCCCCAGCCGGAGGAGGGCCGGCGTGCTGCCCACACCTGGCTCTCTGTTCTGCGGAAAAGCCGCGTGCCTCTCGAAGGCCGAGGGTCCTTCCGGAACAACGGCCTGTACTCACCTGCCATTCCCAACCAATCCATTTCGGGAAGTCCATAATGAGCCCACGTATGGCACGGAACGTAGGTTCACAATTTAAGTAATAGCAGGTGTGAATAGCAAATGGTTGTATCCGAGTGAACGGCAGGGAGCAGGGGGCCCAGCCTGATCTCTGCAGAGGATAGTAAACTCCCCCCCCCCCCCCCCCCCCCC